TATTAAAGATATCATTACAAAATGAACAAATCTGATAGAGGTCCACATGAAGTACCTATATAAGTAATATCAAAGCAATTGGACTTGTGGTTTTTAACAAGAAGTCGAAAATATCACTTTTTACTAAAAATGACAAAAATATTCACCAAAATTAGAGAATTGAAGATATGACCATGAAATGAACAAATCTGAGAGAGGTCTACCCAAGGTACATATACACCAAGTATCAAAGCATTCAGGCTTGTAGTTTTCAAGAAGAAGTCGAAAAAGTAAAACATTGACACGGACGACGACGACGACGACGACGGACAATCACTCATATGATAAGCTCCGCTTGACAAAGTCGACAGCGGAGCTAAAAATATTAAAACAGTTGCACCATGTTCAGGATGGAAATTAAGCATTGATGTGACTAAGACCTAAACTTACATTGTGCGCTGATCAATACCCGTTGGAATACTGAAGGCAGGCAAGCATTAGGGGAAAAGAAGAAAACACAGGACTTCATGCATTACTATTATGAAGATGAGTTTAAATAATATAGTATTGCTAGTCTTAGATTAAACCTCATAAACTCAATAACCGAAGAGGGGTGAAAATGGTTACATAAAAATAAAATAAAAATGTAATACTGATATGAGAAAAGAAGGAAGAATGTAATGGTAAATGATAGTACTAGAGCATGAATGTACTAGTCTAAGAACATAATTTCATCCCATTAAAAATAGTAGTTTGAACCTCAATTCATTCAGTAACTACATCTGTAGCATGTTAAATATTGTAATACATAGAGAATATCTAATGAATAAGAATTGAGATTTAAGAATCAGATTTATCAAACAAGTGAAGTAATTTCCATATGTTCTGAGCCTTTGGCAAGTTTAATGAAACTGATATCATGGGTCATGGATTTTGATATTCTATTTATCACATGTATCTGATTCAAAACTATTTCCCCTTCAGAAAGGAACATCACTTTTGTTATTTATGTGTGCACATTTTAATCCCTTTAGTGTGTTGAATTTGCCTACTGAAATGTCACTCTTTGAACATAGTTTAACTGTCTGTTTATCACCTACCATCAAAAAATAATTCATTCATAAAGTTGACAATATATTTCTGGTTAAAGAAACACATAAGCAACCTCTCACGCAATTTTGCGATAATTCAATCATTGGCATCACCACATTGAGATCGGCAAAATGAAAAAGTTGGAAAAACAAATCCTTTGCTTAGCCAAGATGGGGTTGTAAGAATTAGAAACTGAGAAGTCCACAAAATCAACATTAAAGTACTTTTTACCATACTAGTATTCCAAACAGTTATTACTAAAATATATTTTGTAGTTTGTCAGTTGGTGATGTCATGGTATAAATATACCGGTATATATATGCAAGGACCAATAAAATTGCAAATAAAGTGTGTGATATTGGGGGTGTAATACCAAAGATATCACATGGCTTTATCACATAGTTGTTCGCATGATACATGTGATAAACAAATATATTTATTTATTTTATAAATATAATTTTTGCACCAGAAAAATAACTCAAGCAATTAAACACATATAAAGGTGGAATTAGTGTTTACAGTGCATGTATATTAATCATGTCTATGTTTTAATCAACTATAGTACACTATATATATTTTATTTAGTTTGTTTTTCATCATTTGAAATTGAACTGAGAATCAGACAGTGACAGAATGGAAGGCTGTGAAGAGCTGCTTACATGTAAGTACAGGCTAAATTATTGCGGCTGAGATATAGAAGATATATATGTAGATGAATACGTTATTGATATGCATTCAAATTAACAGTAATGTCATTATTAACATGCATGTGCCTGCAATGGAGTTTTATAGTATATAATGTAAATAATATTTAATATAGATTTGAATAAGAAACTGAGAAATTGAGGTTTCACATCTAAATTGCTGTACAAGTTTCTCAATACGCATATCAGATTATTAATATGCACATAAGTACAAAATATTAGATTCATTATATCATTATAAGCATTTGACATCAAGATGATATTAGCATATTTGCAAATACCACATTTGTTTTATAAATTGTTGTGCCAGGAGACATTTCAGGGTATTAAAGTCACTGGTGCCTCTCTTGACTTTTTTCCTTAGGTGCTAATTGCACGTGCTTGAAATGCAAACCAGTTTCTCAAACACAATACATGTACTGCATGTTTGGGAGGTAGAACAGACTACACTCAGATTTATACTACTGGTGAACAGCCAGCTCCAGGAATCAAACCCAGAACCTTCCTGATGTTAGGCAAACATGCTCATCACTATGCCATTGCCCAGGTACGAACTACCATATTTGCTCTTTTAGAATTACTTCTCTATTAATAGAAGTGGACATAAACCTAAAATTGACAATGTTTCTGTCATTTAAAAGCACATGTACTACTAATAGAAAAAATAAATAATAATGTTACAGTATATAATAAGGCTTGAGCTGAAACAATATATAAAATAAAAATATTAATGATCCAATTATTGTAAAGTTATCATTATTTGCAACCGTGTGTTGTTATTGTAGGCAGAATAATAATAAAACTAGTAACTTAAGACAGGTTACATTGGTTCAATGTAAAACTGAACCACAGTGAAGATGAAACCCAGATTTTACAGTTATCGTACTTGGTCTATTAGTATCACATTACACTGATGTTTTTCTA